TTTGTATACATTTTGGGTTTTACATAGAAAGGGAAACTTTTATATATACATATATACCAGTCTATATTTATAAAAGGCTAAGTGACCATCCAACTGTCTGACTGGCTGGTATATATGATGCACACTGACCACCAGGGGGCTGATGCTCAATGCAGGAGCTGCTTCTTCCCCCCCCCTCCGTGGTAGCACTAAGGATTCCAACTGACAGTCTTCTGGGGAGTGAGCCTAAGCCATCAGCTGGACATCCCCTGAGGGCTCCCAGACAGCTAGAGGGTGTAGGCCAGGCTGAAGGATCCCTCCCCACCCCCCACCCTCCACCCCCCGCACGAATTTTGTGACTGGGCCTCTAATAAGCTATAATACCCTCTTTCTATATTAATGTGATATCCCCCCTACACACACACACACACACACACACACACACAGGGGGTAAATTAAAGCATTATAACTCAGTGTAAACATTTGTCAGTGCAAATACATTTCTATATATTCAGTGTGTACAAACACCTGGTTATTTACACAGTTTATATAATTAGTGCCATAATCTCTGGATAGGATAAATTTCTAACACTTCCTCCTAGTAAGCCTTGCTGTGAGTTTTGACAGTCAGAAAGAAATAACCTTGCCTATAATTATGTCTGTCTGTAGAATGTGGTAGATAGGGAACAATGGGCATGCCAAGGGTCCAAGAGGGACGAAGGATAGTCTTCTGAACCTGTAATCACAGCCGCACCCCCTTCATCCCCCCCTCAACACCCCGCTCAACAGAAGGTAATACAATAGGCTGCTCTGTGTCACTGTTGGAAGGTACGGGGGTTCTAATTTGAGCCTCTGACTTCCAGGAAAAGTCAAATAAGTAGGAAGTGAAATTTAAAGGGGTTCCAACAAAATCTACCAATGTCTCCCTAGGGTTGACCAGCCAACTCAAGCACTCATTCTGACTCTCAGATATTCCTTTGAGCTGCCTTCAAGGTCACCTATCTTTTATGCAGATAAATGACTGCTAGAGGCAGGAAATCTTGAGCCCTGGCTTCTACTTTTTTTTTTTGGAAAATCCCTGTGTTTTTGGAGCAGAGAGAGGAAAGTAGGGAAACTCTCCACTACCCCTCAAAACATGCAAGGTTAACCTAGCTCTGTGCTCTGGGGACTTCTTGTCATCCTTGTGCATGAATCACTAGATAATGTCAAGGATACTTTTAATTGAAGGAGAAAGAAAGCCGTGTAAACCTGTTCCTTGGTCTGGGAAAGAACAGAACTTTTTTTGAATCTCTGGTGTGTGTGTGTGTGTGTGTGTGTGTGTGTGTGTGTGTGTTTGCTATTGCTTTGGAATATGCTCTTAAGAATTATTTGTTTTAACATTTTGCAGGACTCACCTTTTCAGCAGGATTTCTCTCCCTTTTGAGAGGATGGGATAGATTTGGAATTGCCTTACTGTGATGTCACTACAGTAACTTATGTGTACTTGCTTTGGAAGAGGTAGGAATAAGTGGTTGTCGAGCCAGGCTAACTGGCAGCAGGTACCTTTTCTGCCACACGTAGAACAACTTCATCTTTTGGAAAGTTGTATCCAGGTAGGAGAGGCGGCAGCGACTTGCGCTGACTCGGCTCACGGCTCCATATGTGCCCTAATGAAATGCCACCAGATCCCCCGGGCTCCTCCAGAGCTCCAGGTCTGCTCCTTCCCGCCTTCTTCCCGAGCTCGCCTTGCTGGCATGCTGATGTGCCAGTTGAAGGTCTGCAGGAGGAAGGAGCCAGGATCTAGAGCCATCTGGAGCCTGGGAAGTAAGTGCAGGGTAGACATCTGCTTGAAACTTTGTGGAGATACACAGTGTGCTGATTTACAGCCCTCTTGGGACTCCCGTGTTCAGACTGATGAGGAAGCTGGTGTCTGGCAAGAGTCGGGTGCTTGGTCATCAGGACATATGATAAGTTCGTCTAGCCTGTATCCTATGCCAAATTGTATATTTCTTATTTGGGCCACTGAGGTTCTCTCTGCCACCAAAAAACAAAACAAAGCAAAACAAAAATGCTGTTAAACTTAAATGCCCAAAGGTATCATACGTGCATCAAAATATGCACAGTAACACTGAAATAAAAGGATGCGTCTGAGAATCATCAGAGTGTAGAAGCGAAGGCATGCACTTGGGTGTCAAACCACTGGCGTTTCAACCTGGTCTCTGCCACAGTTGCTGTGTGACTCTGAGCAAGTCACTGAACCTCTCTGTGCTCTTGTTTTCTCATCTATATAAACAGCTTGGCTTATTTACCTTTTGGGGTATTTTGAGAAGTAAATGAAGTTTATGTATGTAATAAATTCAAAAATAGCACCTAGTAAATGAACCACGGCACAATTGAGTGGTGTCATGTCCCCCCTCCTCCCCCCGAAGTTGTATAAATATACACCAAAGACAGGGACACCCACTGTTTTCCCTATAAGTACCTTTGGTGCTATCACTTGTCTTCCTTCTCCCACCACCTCCACCACCACCCAGACGGGCTTGGTTTCCCTGGTTCCCGGAGTATGTCAGGAGTGTTCTCACCTCCTGGGTTGTTCTTCCCTGACCCCAGGAGGTGAGAAGCTAGCTGGCTTCTCTTCCGCCCTGAGGCTGTTTCAGTGCTGCTTCTTCACATAGGCCTTCCCTGGCCACCTAACGTCACTCCAGTGCCCACCTGTTCTTCAGCTCCCCGTCTGCATTTGTAGCTACACGTGACTTGCATTTGCATTTCTTTGGTGTCAACATATGAGGAAATTCATGGAGCACGTCTCATTTCCGTTTGAGATCTAGCATCCAGTTGAGCACAGTGACCGCATATAGTGGGCACTCAGTAAATACTCATTCAGAGTCAGAATGAGTGCGTGTCTGAATGGGTTATGTGCTTTATAAAGTATATTCAAAATGCATGGGCAGTGTATGTCTTCCTTCTGAGCTGGCCAACCCTGATTCCCCAATCCTACTACAGTCCCTACGCCTTTCTATTAGTACAGGAGAGAAAAGGCCTCCTTCAGAGATGAGGTCGATCCTATTCCTCCCCACTTGGTATCTTCTCTACTTTGGTTGGTAGCTGAGAAGGAAGCAGGACCTGTTTTTGCTCACCAGGCCAGTTCAGTGGGGGCACTTGCCATGTGGATCAGCCCCATCTGCTGGTGGAATCGGGAGGCTACATCCTTAATGGATGGGAATGCCCTGTGAGCTGAATGCTGGCCATCCAGTCACTTTACCAGCAGAGGAGACTGTGCTGGGGTTTCTCTCCCATGTTGTTATCCTACTGGCAACAAAATGAATGGTAGGGCGAGGTGTGCTTACCCAGCACACCTTTTGGCATCTCTGGTGCCTAAATTTTCATCAGAGTTTCACACAGGCTGTTTAGTGGGGTTTGCAAGTTTGGAGTTAGAGTTTCACGCTCGTGTCCACTGTTTAAAATTCTCAGCTTAACATCAGTGTCCACTAGTTGATCCCTGTGTAAGTTGTGGTGACCGAATTTTCAGCATTTCGAGGTTACCTTCTCTGCAAAGTATCTCAAGGAGATATGGGCATCACATCATGTTTCAATCTTTCTTAAGCGATCATGGGTTTATAAGATAAAGGTTTCAGAAGAAAATAAATCAATCTCTCTCTCTCTCTCTCTCTCTCTCTCTCTCTCTCTCTCTCTCTCTCTCCTTCTCTCTCTCTCTGCTTACATTACCCAAAAATCTCAATAGGTACATTGGACAAGGTGGAATTTGCTGGTTTATTTACATAACATTTTTTTTAAATAAGAAAATTTTCTTTTTGTCTTAGCTTGCATATCTGGGTACCTTGTGTGCATTATAAATTGGCCTGTGAGTAGGCTTAGCCAAGCAAGGATGCTTAGCCAGGCTGTGGTCTGAGGACTTCATGGGTAGCTTTCTGACATTCTGCTGCTTTGCAGCTCTTGTGTTGGGGAGGCTGAACGTGGACTCAGATGGGTATTTTATCTTTAACTTGTGCGACTTTACAAGAACCCACCGAACATACCCACCCAATAGAATCTCCCCTCATACCACCCCATCCTCATTTCCACATCAGAAGTAGCAAGAAGACATGGCACTATCGTAATTTGGTTTACTTTCAGTCTCAATTATAGGGTGTGTGTTTTTGTTGTTTTTTTTTTTTTTTTTTTTGTTAATCCTCATCCAATGATATTTTTTTATATTGCTTTTTAGAAAGAGTGGAAGGAATGGGGGGGAGAAGGAGGTAGGGGAAGAGAGAGAGTGTGCATAACATCAATGGGAGAGAGACATATCAATTCGGTGCCTCATGCATGTGCCTTGACCGGGGCCAGGAATTTAACCTGTACTTCTAGATGCGTGGGCCAGTTCTCTAACCATTGAGAAACACCAGCCAGGGCTCAATTACAGGGTTTTGTTTTTTTAAAAAAAACATATATTGAGCAGTTGCTAACTTATTTTTCTTCATTATAATTCCAAAGAGTGTTCACTCAGTCTCCCAAGAGGAAGGTTTTGAAGGAGGGCTTTGTGCCTGTCTGTCTGGTCACCGAGTTACTGACCACTACAGGATTTCACAGTGGCAGGTAAACTGAATGGTTTGGTTTTCTCAGTTTAGGATGAATTCAGAGATGAGAGGGAAAAAGCCAGGCTGTAAATACATTAACTTATCTAGAATGCAGCAATCAGAAAAACCTAGAAATAAGCCATGTAAATGTCCGCATACCTGTAAGTTCTGTGTGCTAAGGTTTGGTAGTCCTTTATGTGAATTGCCCATTGGAACAGGTACCAGGATAATTTCAGTGATCAATGCTTTGAAAGATTTTATCTGTGCCTCCTTTCCTTAAATACAGCCAGTGCAAAATGCTGGTGAAATCTGGCAGGTTTTCATATTTTAGATTCAGACAGACCATGTTTGGACTTTAATTGTCCTTCTTTACTGGCTGTGTCATTCCAAGCAGATTATTGAACTGTCAGCTCTATGTTCAGTTATAAAATGGGGACAGTGTGCCCTAGCTGGTTTGGCTCAGTGGACAGAGCGTCGGTCTGTGAACTGAAGGTCCCGGGTTTGATTCCGGTCAAGTGCACATGCTCAGGTTACGGGCTCAATCCCCAGTAGGGGGTGTGCAGGAGGCAGCCGATTGATGATTCTCATCTTTGATGTTTCTATCTCTTTCCCTCTTCCTTCCTCTCTGAAATCAATAATATATATATATAATAAAATGGGAATAGTGGTACTAACCCCAAATTGTGACCTTAAGTTGTTTTCCCCTGTGTAGAGCAAGGAGCACGGTGCTGAGCATATGGGTGGACTAGGAATTATAATGCTTGTTACATTGATATCAGTTATTTCTGCATGTGAGGGTGTTATTTTGTAAGTATATTTTTTGCAAAGAGCCTTTTCTTAGACTCTTACTATTTTATTATTATTATTCTAGTAAGAATTTCGATTTAAAGAATGGAAAATTATGTGTTTTGTTATGTTTAAATAATATTTAAATAATATTTCTGCGCCCCCCCCCTTTTCTTCCAATTTTGTTCCCTTAAGGGATTAGCAGCTTTAAAAACACAGGTGGCCATTTGGGCTGGTATGGCCTCACAATATGATCTTTATTTTGCTGGATCAGAGGTTTGGGGTAGGTCCTGTAATCCCTAAATTAGTCTAGGAGGCCGATGGATAAAAACAATGTCTTTGTTGGGCAAATCCCAGTTGTGGCTGTTCTTTCGTTCTTGACTCCAATTTAAACTAATGCCTTAATAGCTGAAATTGCCTCTTCACCCTCTTACCTGAAGGACCATTAACGTCAGTGGGAAGGACTTATCGCTGCAGCACAAAGATACCTTCCTGGGGCCTGTCCTGGCCTGCGAGCCCCAGGCTGGGCCCCTCAGCGGTCAGTATCGGAGGCCAGGCAGAAGCCAGGGCCTGGGCTCCCCCTGAGCTTGCCATCGCACCACAGGCTCTGGCTCCTCCCCCTCTCCGTCCACTTCTGCTTCGATGCAAGGCTGTCGCTCTGCAATTAAGTCATTTCAGTCTCTTCTCTCGTGATTTTTCTTCACCCTAGAGATGCTCAATGTTAGGGCAAAACACAGGCATTCAAGCTGCTCATAGCATTTAGGGAGCTGGGGACTTGGCTTTTAATTACTGTGCAAATATGATTATTTAGGGAGTAGCACCATCTCCATGGAGCCTGGGGAACTGTGACAACACAAGGGCGCCTCATAAATAAGTGCTGAATAGGCGCGTCGGCAGGTCCTAGGGGATGAGCGGGGACAATGCACTGAGCCATCGGAAGTATCTTTCCTGAGCTCGGAGCAAGATGTGAAGTCTCTTTTTTGCCCCAGCTTCTCTATCTGTAACATAGGCTAAGGTATCTTGCTTGTTGGCTATAGCCCAGCAGCTGTGTGGTGTCATCTAGAAAGTTCTAATACGATCAACATGTTTAACAGAAAGTACTCATCTGCCCAGACATCTAGTCTTGAACCACACTCATTTCTCTAGGCAGCCTTTGTTTTACATGACATCCCATGGATCTTGTCCACATACAGCAAGAAATGTTTGACTTGTTGAGATGACTGATGTGTGTATATTTCTTGCCGAAACGTATTTTAAATTTAATGATGGCTCCGCACCAAGGCTGTGCTGATGGGCTTGGACAGCTTGGTGTTAACCCTGCTCTAAGTACTTCATCTCCACCCCAAGTCCTGCTGGACCCTGACCGACCCTTCAGGTCTCAGCTAAACCCTCCTCCTGACGAGGTCAAATTCCTCTTCCATGTGCTCTTATAGAAACATTAGCCTCTCCTTGGAAACTCACCACAGCTGTTGATTTTATTACAATCAATTATTTTAATGCTGTTCTCTCCAATAAGACTATAAATTCTATAAGGTAAACAAATGTGATGATGGTGGTGAATTTTCACTCACCGTGTATGCCCCGCTTCTGATGACAGATAGCATGCCTGGTACTTACGAGGTTCCCAATAAGTATCATTGGTAGAGTGAATTGATGAGGAAGTGAATGAGTGAATGAAATGCCACTGTCACCTACAGCATTTATCTTGTGTCTCTTCCCTATCATGTTCATATGGACTCAGGGACCCGTGCACATAGTAGCCCCCCCCCCCCCCCCCCGCACAGGTTTATTAGATAACTAAACGGCATGATGTGGATCTTGATACCAAAGCCCTGCCATGAATTGGGAAAGTAAAAATTGTTTAAGCTCTTAAAGAGGCCTTGAGGTTTCTGGGTTCCAAACGTGGTCCTGTCTAGGGTAAAATATAGCAATTGAACAACCATTTCTTTCTCACCTGCCTACTCCCGAAGACATGGAGTAATACATCAGATGGGGGATGACCTTGGGAAGGACATCATCCCTAAATCAGAGCCAGATAAAAGGTCTGATGCCGTGCCAGGCGTGTCTCTGAACAGAAGACCATAAATCACTCCAGTAGATTCCATAAGAGTTCTCATGCTGTCTCTCCAGACAGAGCTCGCTCACCTGGTCCATGGGACATCTCCAAGAAGCACTAAGGTGGGAGGCAGTGTGCATACTGTACACCACCTCACCAGCCACTTGGGAAGTGAACTTAGGTACATTGGCTATACTCCTCCATTTTTCTTTTCCATAAAGTAGGAGACATTATCCTACCTACCTCATAAGATTGTTGGAAGGTCAAATGGCCAAACAGGTAAAGAGTGCTTTGCAGACAGTTGGGCATGTAATAAACTCATAGTGAATGTCAGTTGTCATTATTATCATCACTTTTTATCGATTGCAGAAGTTTCTGTTGCAATCCCAAGCTAGTCTCTATGAATGTGTCTTCGCCCTATCCCTTTCAGGTTACACTGGGACCTACATTTCCACCTGCCCTTTCTGCCCACATGCCTTTGGCTCCGACCTCCACTATGAGGACCCAAACAAACACCGGGTCCAGGAATAGCACCCATTATATGGTGTCTTGCATTATGCTATCTTAACCAGTACTGCAGAGGCCAACTGGAACTGCTGGAAATTCACACTGTGCGGTGACTGGGGGAGGATGCACACTCCATATGCAGGCATAAATAAATGGCATCGTGCTGACAGCATGTGTGCCCAGCCAGACTCCCTGCTCTCTTAGGCCTAATCTGATGGAAGGTGTTATGACTTTTTCTGCAGCTTCAGAATAAAAACTGGAGAAGAAAATCTGAGACGTGGCACTCACTAAAACCCCCATATGGTTACTTAAGGCAGCTTAAGCACTTCCACAGAAACTGGGCTCTGTTGAAATAGCCACTCTTCTTGCAAAGTGAAACCTTCTCTCCCCTTTTTTGCCTTAAAATTATTATTTTTTTCCTTTTATTTTTAGACTTTGGATGAGAATGGGACTCTAAATCTGTTTTCAAGCTGTCTCTTCCTTTCTCTGCTTGCTCAGAACTACCCTTTTTTAAATACACACTCACACACACACACACACATCAAAACCTTTTTTATTTTTATTGAATTTATTTGGTTGACATTGGTTAACGAGATTATGTTGGTTTCTTGTGGACAAGTCTATAATGTATCATCTGTATATAGTATTGTGTTCACCACCCCCAAGTTAAATCTCCTTCCATCACCTTTAAACCCCCCTTTACCCTCTTTTACCTCCTCCACTACCCTTCCACCCTGGTAATCACCATGCTGTGATTATGTTTTTTGTTTGCTTAATCCCTTCACCTTTTTTACCCAGCTCTCCCCGTCTCCCCGTCTCCCTTCACCCCCTACAGCTGCCAGTCTTTTCTCCATATCTATGAGTCTGTTTCTATCTTGATAGTTTATCTTGTTCATTAGATTCCACGTCTAAGTGAGATCATATGGTGCTTGTCTTCCTCTGACTGGCTTTATCTTGCTTCTGGCCCCTGGTGGAGGCACCTTGGGCAGGTTCCTTGACCTCTCCTCCCCTTGCTTTTTTCATCAGTGGTGCCTTCTAGCTGTTCACATTTTTTTACTTATTTTATGATGTCTGTCCTTTGTTGTGACCAAAAGCACAATGGTTGTGTCTTACTCATAAGATAGGGAAATATTCATTGATCAAGTTGAAAAAACCTTCACTTTCCACATTCCAGGCCTCTTAGTTTGGGCTCCGAGAGTTATAGTCTGAGGCAGGTTTTGTGCTAAGGGTAGATGGGTTTCATTTCTATACTCCTGTGGACATTAGCGGGCGTATGGCCATTTGATCTCGGTAGTGATGGGGTGTCCTGACACAGCATGCCCTCCCCCTTGGCATGTTTGGGAAGCACCCAGGCGTGGTCCTGAGGCTGCCTGAGCCACTGGTAATGAACCAAACACCCCCAAATGCTCCAGTGGCTGCCTTTTGGTGCTTGGCAGGAAAACCCTTTTCATGTTAGTTTCAAGGTTGTCAGATAGCATTATCCCCAAGTCTTAAAAATTTCAAAGAAAGGAGGCAGTGTGTTTGATTTATAGAATAATCATCTAGCTTTAGCTCTAACTGGGCTTTGGCAGTGGTTTTGCAAGCACTTGAAAATTAAATCCATTTTTTATGGCACTACAAGGTATTATCCCACAGCAAATGATAATTAAACACCTGTGAAATCAATTAGCCCTTTAAGCAGGGGAAAATTTTTTCCAATTATGTTTTCGCACCTCCAAAACTTTTGAAATTCCAAAACGAACACTCATGGAGAGGCATGGAGTTGATTGGCATTGGGGGGTTCACTTTCCAGAAAGATCACCCCTACATTTTGCTTTGACTTCGTCCCCAGTAAAGGCGTCGTGTGTTACCAGCTCCCATCCGGAGAGGACGCAGTCGTCTTTTGAGCAGAGTCTTAGCAGCTGTGTATCTGACACACAGCTGAGCTGTCAGTTCCTCTACAAAGAAAGTTACTCACTTTGTGTTTCGATGCCAAGTTTTACTTGACAGTTTATGTAAAAGCCAAGATACCTTAATGGAAACCAAGCAACAAGGCGTTCCATGTGACAGAATTGTGCGCGCGCTCTCTCTCTCTCTCTCTCTCTCTCTCTCTCTCTCTCTCTCTCTCTCTCTCTTTCAGGGCTTTGTAGCCAAGAGCTCTGAGCCATCTTCATTACAAATGCAAACCCTTAAAACAGACCGACTGGGTAATAGCTGAAAACTAACAGTGGGGAACTAGAAATTGTGGCCAGCCTTTCAGCCCCACGGGATCATGTGTGTTTAACCATTGGCTTCGGTAACAAATTAGCTATTCCAGATGCTTCTTTTGGAAGATGATCTGCACTTTTGAAAGCACTGGGTGGATTGGGGTAGAGGCCATAACAATTTGGGGCTCAAAAAAGAAATAATGCCAGGCCTTCCATATCCTCTACATTTTGCCTCATTATGTACAAAGACCATTCCAAGAAAATGTTTGCCTAGTCCTTCCTGATATTCAGACATGCTTTAGTTTGCATAATGTTCTCGGGTACGCTGTCTCGTTAGATCCTCAGTGGACCTCATTAGGTGGGCATGGCTGCTATGATTTCCCATTTTATAAATGAGCATGGATTCAGGCCCAAAGGGCCTTGCTTAAAATCAGACAGTTTATGACAAAGTCACGGCCAGAAAGTATATTTCCTAGACATTAGTTTGTATAGGTTTCATCATATCACCCTACATATAAATCTCTGAAAGATATTCTTTACAATTTTTTTTTTTTTTCTAGAGACATTTGTAATAGGATCTTGGGTTTCCTAGCAGATAACATTTGTCTAGAGAAATAAGTCTGGTGATGCATAAAACAATGATGAGAGAGGATATTTCTATATTCATTTAGAAATGCATCCTATGGATTGTCTTTGCAAACATGGCCAGCAACTTGGGCATTATGATCTCATAGGTATTCTCCCTGAGAAATGAGGAGGAGATCTGGCATTCATTCAACAAACATTTCTTAAGATTACTTTGGTCCAGGCACAGGACTAGGAGCCAGGGTCACAATGGTGAGTGAGGACAGGTGAGCTCCTGCTCTCCTGGAGTATACATTATATTTAGAGAGAAAGAGCAATGTGTGTATGAATTCAGATAGTGGTAGGTCCTAGGACGGGGCAATGATTGGACAGTGGGTGCCGGGAACACAGGCTGGTCTGTGTGGGTGTCTCTGAAGAGCACTGATATGCCTCCTAAGGGAGATTTGGGAGAAGAATGTTCCAGGCAGAGGGCATAGCAAATCCAAGTCCAGAGATGGTAATGAGTATGGTGTGCTGAGACACCAGAAAAGGCCAGGGTAGCTGTTGAAGGTGAGTGAGGATGGGGCCATTCAGAGCTGTGGGTAAAGCTAGTCTCAAGGGGCCTATTGGATGGAGGTGTGACTATTATTCTAAGCACCCCGAGGAGCCATTGCAGGGTTTGCAGCCTGGGAGGGAACATTGTGAAGGTATCTGTGGTTGCTCTTTGGAAAATGGGTTGAACCTATAAAGACCAAACCTATTCTGGCCTGAAACATATGAGCCAGAGTATACTTCTTGTTGCTCAGCTCATGTGGGGACCCACAGGAGTAGACTTAGGAAATAAGTAGAATTAGAAGATACACAGGGAAGGACGTGAGGTAAAAACCATTAGGTGTTTGCATTTTTGTTTCTCCGGTGCTCAAAACTTACTGGTCCAGTGAGCAAATATCAGGGCATAAAGGCATCTTAAGGGACACCTGGTCTACCTCTCCCCTGTCTCATGCCTCAGTTTTTTCTCTGTCCCACAACTTCTTCCCAAAATGAGGCCACCTAGCTGCTTAGCTGCTTCCCCAGGGGACATGTGCTGAGCAGAGCGGCTGAGGAGGAGGGAGAGGTGACTCAGAGTTTCACAAACTTCCATGTGTACCACTGTGCTTCTACCAAAGGAAACGGCAGATTTCAGGACCTTCCCAGTCTCCTCATGGGTGGCTGATCTGGGAAATAAACAATTAGGTCGTTGACCATACACAGATTTTTATGTCCCGTGAACACACATACACACTGTACATTTATACATTTACATGCCCAGATGGGAAGGATTAGACTGTCTACAGACAGCTAGCTTCACCCAGCTTTCACATTATGTTGGTGTCCTATCTTTTTTTTTTTTTGGAGTTACACCATCTCTGGCTACACAGAATTCTGAGGTCTCGTTTGCTTGTTTAGTGCAAAAGGCTCAGGAGTGAGCTGGCTTTGACTGTCGAAGTCAAAAGGTGGATCCTCGGAGTGGCAAAAACAGAAGAGGAGATGGGACAGTGAGGTTAACTGAACCAGCCATCATTTCATTAACTGTAATTGGATTCTCAAGGTATTTTATAGTCACTTGAGTGCAAGGACCAGATGAGAGGCTTAAGCACTGATGAAGAATGCTGGGCATGTGTCAGATCTACCACCGGCCAGCCTCTGTGTAGTGTCTCCTCTGGTGAGGGGAACAGCTAGCAGGAATTCCAAACATTCTCCTAAACCCAGGGCTGACCGAGGCTGGCTGTGCAGGCAAGAATGTCTTGGCTCACCAAGGCACGTGATCAGAATATTGGGTGGGCCCAGTTTTCTTCGGGGGTAAAGAGTCTGTGCCTTTGGACCAATGCATTGTTCGTCATTGCAAAAGCCAGGCGGAGATTCTGCAGTTTTGTGTTTTCCTCTCCACCTCGGTCATGGAGGAAGGCCTGGAGAAAGTTTGGTTTGAATAGCCCGGTGCATACACATTCAACTTGCTTTGGAATTACAGGTGCACCTCTTTTTAGAGCACTT